ATCAGCTGCCTCAATCTCTGTGACTGACTGTCCCTTTCGTTGTTGACTCCAAGTCTGTCAGTACATTATCTCTAAGCTATTTTCACGGTGTGCCTCATTAAGGATAATAATTATTATTATTGCACAATTAAACAAGGATAAGTCCCTTGATCCCTCCTCTAATTCTCCATGGGCAGAGAGAGGTTCAAAGGGCTCAGCATTGTTTTACTTTGCAATTATTATTATGTTTAGTATTTTGCAATGAAACAAAGTTTAGGGCCCCCTCCCCCAATTACTGAACGGAAGAGCCTTACACCCAAGTTTTCTCTGCAGTGGCACCGCTTGATAATATGTAACACAACATGAATGAACTACTCACAGCTTCGTCTAGTTCCTGTTTGATTGTGTCAACCAGGCTGGTGGAAACATCATCAGGACCTGTCACCTGAGATAATAAACAATCAGTCAACATGCTGAATATAAACACACAATGTCGACATGCAGCAGTGTGTCCCTACTGGCCGCATTCACTGCCCAGTGTCCAAGCACACACAATGTCGACATGCAGTAGTGTGTCCCTACTGGCTGCATTCACTGCCCACTGTCCAAGCACACACTGACATGCCAGTAGTGTCCATACTGCGCTGCAACTGCACACACAATGTCGACATGCAGTAGTGTGGTCATTCACTGCCCACTGGCCGCATTCACAATGTCGACATGCAGTGTCCATAGCATTTCACTGCCCACTGTCCAATGCACACACAATGTCGACATGCACTGAGTCACTGCCCAGTGTCCAAGCACACCTATGCTGGCTGCATTCACTGCCCACTGTCCAAGCACACACAATGTCGACATGCAGTAGTGTGTCCATACTGGCTGCATTCACTGCCCACTGTCCAAGCACACACAATGTCGACATGCAGTAGTGTGTCCATACTGGCTGCATTCACTGCCCAGTGTCCACTGTTTTTTTTTTTTTTTTTTTAGTCGCCATGTTTTGAGTCAACTTTTAGAAGCAGGGATAAACCACCAGGAAGCTTGACATTAGGTAGAGGCACATAAGGGATGAAATCCTCACAGTGTGTGGGAGAAATGGCAAGAGTTGAGACCATTTCTGGTGTGTTGTGTCGGGAGCGATGTTGTGTTCAACCGCAGGCTCAGGATGATATATTTGTAAACAGTTAAGTCATCTTAACCAGACCGCAATCATCCTCAGTTGGTGGCCGTCTATTCATTTAATGTTCTGTTTCTTCTCCTCCTCCTTCTATCCCTGACTGCCTCTTCTTCATCCTCTATCTGCACAATGACTATCTCCAGGTCAAACACTGAAAATACCTTCTCACTGTCCTCGTCTCCCACCACTACAATTACATCAAACACTCCATCATGTGGCCTCACATAAAAAGTGAGAAACACCATAATAACATAAATTTTGTTCTTCTCTTGAATTCAAAATAAAACAATCGCTTCAACTTTTAATCCTCTGTAAAGAAGACTAAGGCAAGTTACATCTACATATTTCTCAACAACAAACAATTCGGACTTTTTCAAAATGTGGGCTCATTTGATATATATAACCGTTAGGCTAAGTTACCTGAATCACGTGCATATTTTAAAAAAAAATAGAAATTTACCACCCCTCTCTATTTCACTTCCTGGGTTATCTATGATTACTCTAGAGTATTCTAGACCCCATGTCTGGCCTAGCCCTACCTATTTCTGTCTAGCTCTCTCTGCCTTCTACCCTCTATATCTCCCTAAGTCTAAGTCTGTCTAGCTCTCTCTGCCTTCTACCCTCTAAATCTCCCTAAGTCTAAGTCTGTCTAGCTCTCTCTGCCTTCTACCCTCTATATCTCCCTAAGTCTAAGTCTGTCTAGCTCTCTCTGCCTTCTACCCTCTATATCTCCCTAAGTCTAAGTCTGTCTAGCTCTCTCTGCCTTCTACCCTCTGTATCTCCCTAAGTCTAAGTCTGTCTGTTGTCTCCCAAGTGCTCTCTTTATATAGGGCTATTTGCAGATTGTTCTGGAAGCTACCAAGTATGCCAGGAACACTGACAACTGCGCAACGAGAATACAATGTTGCAATAAAATTTGGAATATTCTCAATAAGGTATTTACACGTACAGTACGGCTGGGTCACATAATGCTTCTGACCTGATTTTTGGAAGTCTCTAAAAAAGGGCCAAGGCCATCAGGGACCTGGCTGTTATGTGCCAATTCCATCACTGCTTTCTTTTGGGGGGAACACAAATGTTCTAGAAAACTGTTAATTTGTTTCCTTGCTAAATAAACATGCACACTTTCTTTTTTATCCTATGTTATTACTATAGCATCTCTCTCTTTCTTTCTCTCTCCCTCTCTTATCTCTCTCTCACCACTGTTTAGTTTTTCATCTTATAAACAAGAAGTGCAGAAGTAATTTCTAAAATGTTTAGTTTTCCAGTCAGTCTTTACTAGAAAAATTACAGACAATGTGATGCCTCAAGAGAAAGCCAGACTGCAGGAATTATAGCCGAGTATGTCATCAACATATGAGCCTAATGACATCACAGACTGCAGGAACAGTAGTTGAGTATGTCACTAACATATGATCCTAATGACATCACATACTGCAGGAACAGTAGTTGAGTATGTCATCAACATATGATCCTAATGACATCACATACTGCAGGAACAGTAGTTGAGTATGTCACTAACATAGGATCCTAATGACATCACAGACTGCAGGAACAGTACTTGAGTATGTCATCAACATAGATCCTAATGACATCACATACTGCAGGAACAGTAGTTGAGTATGTCACTAACATAGGATCCTAATGACATCACAGACTGCAGGAACAGTAGTTGAGTATGTCACTAACATAGGATCCTAATGACATCACATACTGCAGGAACAGTAGTTGAGTATGTCACTAACATAGGATCCTAATGACATCACAGACTGCAGAAACAGTAGTTGAGTATGTCACTAACATATGATTCTAATGACATCACATACTGCAGGAACAGTAGTTGAGAATGTCACTAACATAGGATCCTAATGACATCACAGACTGCAGAAACAGTAGTTGAGTATGTCACTAACATATGATTCTAATGACATCACATACTGCAGGAACAGTAGTTGAGAATGTCACCAACATAGGATCCTAATGACATCACAGACTGCAGGAACAGTACTTGAGAATGTCACTAACGTGTGATCCTAATGACATGATAGACTGCAGGAACTGTAGTTGAGTATGTCACCAACATGTGATCCTAATGACATGACAGACTGCAGGAACAGTAGTTGAGTATGTCAGTAACGTGTGATCCTAATGACATCACAGACTACAGGAACAGTAGTTGAGTATGTCACCAACATGTGATCCTAATGACATGACAGACTGCAGGAACTGTAGTTGAGTATGTCACCAACATGTGATCCTAATGACATCACAGACTGCAGGAACTGTAGTTGAGTATGTCACCAACATGTGATCCTAATGACATCACAGACTACAGGAACAGTAGTTGAGTATGTCACCAACATGTGATCCTAATGACATGACAGACTGCAGGAACAGTAGTTGAGTATGTCACTAATGTGTGATCCTAATGACATGACAGACTGCAGGAACTGTAGTTGAGTATGTCACTAACATGTGATCCTAATGACATCACAGACTGCAGGAACAGTAGTTGAGTATGTCACTAACGTGTGATCCTAATGACATGACAGACTGCAGGAACAGTAGTTGAGTATGTCACTAACGTGTGATCCTAATGACATCACAGACTGCAGGAACAGTAGTTGAGAATGTCACTAACGTGTGATCTTAATGACATCACAGAACACATCAACCATTTACCCGACTGCCATCCTCATGCCTCCGTCTCACAGTTCGATCTGTGCCACAGTTCTCATCATCGCCTCCATCCTGCAGACAGATAAAAGAATAATGAGGAACTTCTGCTCAACAGACAGACAATGTTTCTACTGGTTCAGTCAGGTCTGGGTGGGTCTGTGCATCTCTGGGTGGCTCAAACTCAAATCTTACTTGTGAAGCTACTGTTAAAACTCACAAAGTTGCAACCTACATTCTGTGTTGGGAAAAGACAAGGTGCCAAGGGAAGCAACTGGTCCCCTAAGTTGACATGACTTAGCATGTACTGCCAATGCTATACGTCCATGGACATAGCTGGTCAAGCATTGACATACACCTGTTCTCTGCATTTAGGCGCTGTTGTCATTTCGAAGAGACAGGTGTCATTCCCAGTATAGCTTTTGATGTTTGTGCAGTTTAGTGTGTCCTCCCATCTCTCTACTCGTTTTTGTGAGTGATAGTCAATACATGTCAATGTGGTTCAATGTTTCACCAATGTACACATGCATCAACCTCTCTACTTACAAAAATATACACATATATCAACTTCTCTACTTACATCCATCACATGCCACGATAGTCACTGACTCACAAAGCATGTTGAGAAAGGTAGAGACAATTATTCTCTGTGCAGAGTGGTAAGCATTACCTTAGAGGTCCTTGGTAGTTTCCTTTGGATATTCTCTCCAGGTTATGCCAGTGTGTTGGGAAATGAGTAGGCAGATAGACTGGCCAGTTCTGCACCAGTTGGTGGTGATTTGATGTATGACAAGCTAGATGTTGTGACAGCCGTCTGGAAGCAAGTGAACAGTGCAGAAGCGCAAACAGATCAATGCAGTTTGAGGAGAATTGCCCTGCGAGGAGTTACCAGGGGATTTGGCAGACACTCAAGGAAAGGGCAAGATGGATACACAATCAGACAGTTACTAGTGCCATCGGAATTGGAACTCTTAGTTTGCTGCTGAAGATGGGGATGGAGCGCTTATGGAGGTGTCCCGAGTGCTGTGATGTTGATTCTTAATTCAACATTTTATTAATGTACACTTATCAACCTCTCTACTTCCATCCATCAATGTACACTTATCAACCTCTCTACTTCCCTCCATCAATGTACACTTATCAACCTCTCTACTTCCCTCCATCAATGTACACATATAAACCTCTCTACTTCCATCCATCAATGTACACTTATCAACCTCTCTACTTATATCCAGCAATGTACACATATCAACCTCTCTACCTACATCTATCTACATACACACATCGACCTCTCTACTTACATCCATCTACGTACACATACCAACCTCTCTACTTACATCCATCTACGTACACATACCAACCTCTCTACTTACATCCATCTACGTACATATATAAATCTCCCTACTTACATCCATCTATGTACATATATCAACCTCTCTACTTACATCCATCTACGTACATATATCAACCTCTCTACTTACATCCATCTATATACATATACCAACCTCTCTACTTACATCCATCTATGTACACATACCAACCTCTCTACTTACATCCACCATTGAACACATACTAACCTCTCTACTTACATCCATCTACGTACATATATAAATCTCCCTACTTACATCCATCTACGTACACATACCAACCTCTCTACTTACATACACCATTGAACACATACTAACCTCTCTACTTACATCCATCTAAGTACATACATAAATCTCCCTACTTACATCCATCTACGTACACATACTAACCTCTCTACTTACATCCATCTAAGTACATACATAAATCTCCCTACTTACATCCATCTACGTACACATACTAACCTCTCTACTTACATCCATCTAAGTACATACATAAATCTCCCTACTTACATCCATCTACGTACACATACTAACCTCTCTACTTACATCCATCTAAGTACATACATAAATCTCCCTACTTACATCCATCTACGTACACATACTAACCTCTCTACTTACATCCATCTACGTACACATACCAACCTCTCTACTTACATCCATCTATGTACACATACCAACCTCTCTACTTACATCCATTCTTCTATGAACCTCCACAGATAAAAACTGTCTAGTTACTTTCCGGAACCTGGAAGACAAAAAGCTTTCGTTACTGGACAATGTATGAGTCCTCACTAAGGAAAAAAAATACTGTCTGACTGAAATGAGAAAACCTGATAATAAAGACAAGAGAAATTTTTTGTTGAAACCTACAGAAATAAGGGAACACAAAGAACACAAGGGGAGTCGCAGTGGCTAAGTGTCTAGATGCTCGCCGCGGATCAGAAGGTCATGGGTTCGCTCCCTGGCGGAGCCGGACTTTTTTCAAAATTGACCTTGGCTACAAGCCTTGAGTGGGTACAGGGTGCAGTCCCGGTGCTGATACCTCACCCATCCTGTGTCAATTGCTCTATAAAAATATAGGTCTAACCCTATATGCCCAAAGGTGTGGAAAAGGGTCCTTTATTTTTTTTTAAAGAACATATGGAGAAGGAAATTACAGGTTTCAGTTACAGAAATAAAGGGAAGAACAAAGAACATATGGAGAAGGAAGTTAGAGAGTTCAGTTACAGAAATAAAGGGAAGAACAAAGAACATATGGAGAAGGAAGTTAGAGAGTTCAGTTACAGAAATAAAGGGAAGAACAAAGAACATATGGAGAAGGAAGTTAGAGGGTTCAGTTACAGAAATAAAGGGAAGAACAAAGAACATATGGAGAAGGAAATTAGAGGTTTCAATTACAGAAATAAAGGGAAGAACAAAGAACATATGGAGAAAGAAATTAGAGGTTTCAATTACAGAAATAAAGGGAAGAACAAAGAACATATGGAGAAGGAAATTAGAGGTTTCAATTACAGAAATAAAGGAAAGAACAAAGAACATATGGAGAAGGAAGTTAGAGGATACAGTGACAGAAATAAATGGAAGAACAAAGAACATATGGAGAAGGAAGTTAGAGGGTTCAGTTACAGAAATAAAGGGGAGACCAAAGAACACATGGAGAAGGAAGTTAGAGGGTTTAGTTAAAAAAGAGTCAGAAGACATGGGCTGTATGCGATAGCAAATGACAGGGCAACCTGGCATGAGTTGACTGGGAGCCTATGCTCCACTGGGGGATACAGGGCAAAAGCTGAAGCATCATGTCATAGAGACACATTTCTCTAACCTCAAGTATTTGACACTGCAATGTGCCAGTTTGGTCATGTGTGTTAAGAACTTTGAAACTGAAGGTTCAGTCTTTGGTGTTAAGAACTTTGAAACTGAAGATTCAGTCTTTGGTGTTAAGAACTTTGAAACTGAAGATTCAGTCTCTGGTGTTAAGAACTTTGAAACTGAAGATTCAGTCTCTGGTGTTAAGAACTTTGAAACTGAAGATTCAGTCTCTGGTGTTAAGAACTTTGAAACTGAGGATTCAGTCTCTGGTCTCTCAGAAACCTTATGTTAATACAGAGGGGAAAACCAAGCATTTTACAATAAATGAGATAGAGTAATCTCAAATAACACTGGTTCATAACCATCAGCCTCTCTGTGTATTTGTCATTTTCAACATCTAAGAGGTTAACAGATAACAGTGTATGATGTTTGACTAAACTGTTGGCAACAACGCAGCTTTGTTCTCTCTGGTTGGAGTTGTTACTCATCACTTTAACATTAGCGCTGCTAACCAGTTGGCTCGTGATACATGGTCAGAGTCAGTGCCAAGCGGTCTGCTGCCAAATCGTTGAAATGGTACTGGGTGTTTCAGAGTTCCAATCACGAAACCACGTTCATAACACTTAGCCCAAGCCACAGACGAAGTGTGTGGAGATACCGCTGAAATATGTCAGGCAAAACAGTTTGCGCAATATATTGATATTTATTTACTTGCAATATGACATGTTTACTGGCTGACTTAACCTAACCTTTGGGATTCTTGGTTAGTTAGTTCAGTCACAGTTACCCCCAGTGCGTGTAGTTATTAACTAACGTATAGAGAAGGTCAGTGGTTCGGCCCACCACAGGTTGGCTGTGTTATCTTGCTTTCATGTATAATAAAGGTAGCCTAGACAGGTTGTGCATACGTCGGGGTTCCAAAGTCCCACACGGTCAGGCTATATATAACACAACATATCCCTGTCTGCTGTCCAAGAACACTAGAAGTGAAATATTTCTGTCCCACAGGCAGTCCACCCCACAATGGACGCCGTTACAGACCAGTGTTGCCACTTTTCTTTGACAAAAAATATCCAAAACGGTGTCAAAAAATATCTAAAAATATCTAAATCTGCGTGGAAAAGATCTAGAAAAAACATCCAAATGGAAAAAGTCAAAAATTACATAGCTTTCGTTATGACTTACCCTACATAATCATGTCCTCACCTTTACTGATGTCTGCCTCACAAGATCCACAGGGTAAACTTAGCTTGGATAATGAAGTTGAAGCTTCAGATCCAAAATGACTCTGGTATGCTTTAGCTGTTCAAATTTCTTTATAAGTGGAACAGTAGGCTTATTTCTCGTCTCATCAGGCCGAATTTTAATGGCACGATAGCATTTAAGAGGTCAAATTTCAGCCTGTTTTTTAGGTTATATTTGATATAATTCCTAGCACTGAAAACTCTTTCTAAGTCAGCATTTAAGTGGGGTAGTATCATGGCAGACATAGCACTTTAAAGAGCTTACAGAATGGACTGTTTGATGAGGCATCTTTAAATTGTCTCACTTCACTCCAAAACGCTTTAGTTTCTGTTTTGTTTGTCCATTCAGCTAACTTTATTTTGTTCAACTGATATTCTGCTTCCGCGACACTATTATCAGTAGCCCCAAACAATTTCATAACTTTACAATATTAAGGTATGTCCTTTATTGGCTTAAGTATGTTGCTCACAGTAAAAGGTGAAATATTTTTCAAAACATCTAGATTTTCAGGAAGTCTCTGCTTCAATAATGAGATAAAGAAATCTTGACAGCGTTTTCTTAAGTTGTTCTCTTCATTCTCTGTTAACAGTCCTTTTGTTTTTAAATCATAAATTTTTGATTCGATTTAATATCCAAGGTGTGGCTTAGGAGCCAAATAGCTCTCTATAGTGCAAGTGAGCAAATCATCTTTAGAAGTTGGCAACACCAGTCTTTTACCGAGTGAAATAGCAAGGTGAGATCATCAAGTAATTTAACTTTATCAACAAGTTTAGATTCGAACAGTTTATTAACTTTTTGCCCTTCCATTAGAATAGGTTATAAAAAGAGAATGAATGACACATTTTTTTCATCACTGTACATTCCATATAGTATTTCAGCTGTGTAGCACTTTTCACTTTGTCTTGTTATTTCAAAGTGTGTCTTTAACTTCAGCCATTGCTTTATAATTCTTTCAACAGCTGGTTAAATTGATAAGCATCTAGTTTTGCAATCCGACAGAATTTTCGGTGGTGTGGAACCATCATTCAAGGCTGTATATAATGTATTGTATTGCTGTTGTCTGACAAATGATTTGGAAAACCAGTAAAGTGTTTCAGCAATAAGGTATTCTAAATTCCTTGGTAAATATTTAGATGAAGCATCATTGCTAGCTGCAATGAATGACGCATACATTTTATAAGTATTATCGATGGGTTAGCTTCCTTCAACTTGGCATAAACGCCATTGTTTATACCAACCATCACTGAGGCATTATCAGTACCAATTACAGCCAAATTCTTAAAGCCTAACTGTTTGCTGATTAAAAGGTCCTTCAGTTCCTAAACTATACTTTCTACATCACACTTTTCAAATTGAACTAGTCCAAGAATTTTTACAAATCGATCAAATGGTCACAGTTTGAAATTGCGCAGTGACAAATTAAAAACATTGCGACTGATACTTCAACTTTTGATGATTCATTTATCAGTTTAGTTCTGAAAACAGATGTCAGCGGTGTAATATCTTTAAATGAAACTGCAGTTTTATGCTTTTTTAGTCTCTGCATGACTCTCTGAGTTTTGTATTTTCGCTTTAATTTCACACTTGCAGTACAACAAGCTTTGGTCATATCCCCGGTTTTTAATTTTGTCATCATGCACCCATTCTTTCAAAATTTTTTGCTCATACTTTACTTTTGGCATGTTGAAAGATTTTTCAAAGTGAAAGCCACATAAGCAGGTAAGCAATTATTATTTTTTTTAAACACATGAAAAAGAAACGCAAAGTCAGCACAGTGAGGATATGGTTGAAACAAAGTTAGTATGATTTACGCGCGTTTTTATTAACCAGTACCGGGGCTGCCAGATATTTGTGCGTTGACCCCAGTGAGAGTTCAAAGTTCAAGTAATGGCAGTTGTCACAATGTACGTACCAGACCAAAACAAAAATATTGTAGTAAATATTTTACACAGTAATTATTAAATTGACAATGAAAGAGAAAAAAATCTATAAAATATTTAACTCCATATGAAAAGATCTAGAAAAATATTTACGATCTAAACGTCAAAAACAGTATCTAAATGCAATGAAAAAGATTTAAATTTGGATATAAAAGATCCAAAGTGGCAACACTGTTACAGACTGCACGATCGGTCACGTGACAGTTTACGCCAAA